TAATCAATAATTCATATGAGAAAACTATAAAGTAAACCATAATTTATAGTTTTTTTAATCAAAATTAAATCCAATCAAATAATCAAAAATATAATCATGATTAAAATTAATCATAATTATAATAAATCACATTTATCAACTTTATAATTGAGAATATAAACTAGATTTCTCAATTTTGATAAAACCATAAATATTTGAAAGGATATAAATCGGAAATATGTGATTTATGAATGGCAGAACTGTAATTTAAAAGAAATTAGATCCGAGGGCAAAACCATAAATATGTTGACAGAACATAAACTGAAATTACAAAATTTGCAAAGGGCAAAACTATAATTTTGCAAAATCCTAACCTCGAGGGCAAAATCGTAATTATGCCAAAAACCCTAATCTGCCTTCGTCGTCGCCGCCTGCGCATGCGGCGCTACCGCCGCTGCCTGCGGTGCACGACCGTCGCCTTTGCGCGTGGCTGCCGCATGTGTGCGACCGCCGCCTATGCGCGGTCGCCTGCGACTGTTCTAGCCTACGTGCGGTCGCTACCGCCATGGCGCTGTCGTCGTGGGGCTGCCACTGCTCGCGTGCGGCTGCCGCATGGGGCTCTCTGCCTACGTGCGGTCGCCGCATGGACGGGTTCCACCCGCGTGCAGCCGGCCATCGCATGGGCACTGTGATGCCCGCGTATAGTGGCTGCATGCGCTACGGTGCGCACGCTGCCTGGCATAGCCTTTACCGCAGATTCGTAGCAAGGTTGACAATGACCATTGCTACTTAATAATTCTTGGAGAATAAAGATAATTTATGCATCGTAAATAAATTAACATATCTAATGCATTTGATTTCAAAAACTTAGGCTCTAATACAAATTGTAAGCATAAAAAATATGTAATTATGCTATATCAAAAATACGAAAATAACTTTTATGCTAGGATTGGAATCAAATGCATAGATCTAAATATTATGATGCATACCTTTCAATGCCATCTGTTCAGAGATCCTGTTTGATCTGCCAAGCACCGTTTTTGGGGAGAGGGTTTGGAGAGAGAGTTGAGGAGAAACTGTAATCCTCAACAGAGACAAAGAGGTGCGTCGGTACGTGTGTACGTTCTAATGTGTCGTGTCGTGTACTCAGCCCCTAGAGGTCCTGTCTTTTTATAGGTGAGACCGTAGGGTTTACGATAAGATCTTAGGAGATTTTTTCCCATCAAGGTTATCTCCTAAGGAATCGTTCCGTAAGTGGACTTCTATTCTATTGGTAAAAATATTTCAATGGAAACCAATTAGTTATATTATATATCTTATCCAATTATAAAAGGGCCACAAAATCTAAAGCATTGGACAAAGATCTATTTTCTCATATCTTTTTATGCTTTTAAATCAAGCTTATGAGAGGAATCTAATCATTCTTTTTTGCTTCAAAAATATATACAAATTATATCATCTTCAATATGCGGATGACATCCTCATATGCTTTCATGCGATGGTGAATGGTTTTGGATGAACTAACAAAGTTGGTCCTTTGACATAATCCGAGTCAGGTGCTTATTGCGATTGTTCTTTGGTTCATTTGGAAAGTTTTATGAAATTATTCTTTAATACTTATTCGCATCTTTAATCTATTATATATAGGATTTACCCTATTTCACTCTACAATGCTAGTTAACCAATTTGAAGGATTATTAAATAGATTCCACTAGTACAAGAATTCTTTAAACTTGGGAGAATATTATTTTATTTTGAGGAATTCTAATAGCTCTTATATTTAGAGGAAAAAATGAAATTTTCCGCAGGGCACAAGCTGTACAAGAGGGAGGGGATGAAGAAGGCTTGGACTTAGGAGTAATGTTGTTGATTATGAAATTAGATTCTAAAGTTATTGTTGATATCTTAAATAATAACTCAATACTGTTTTAGAGGATTTCTTCTTTAATTAAAAAATATACTATTACTCATGTATGGTGCGAGGGCAATCATACAACCAATTGACTTGTTAACTTTATTAGAAATTTGAGTTTTGATTGTAATTAGCAGAAGGATTTACCTCTTGATCTAGATTTGTTGGTTCAAAGTGACACTAATGGGGAAGGTCACATCAGATGATGTTAAGTTTTAATTTATAATATTTTCATTAAAAATTTGATAGAATCAAGATGTTTTTTATTTAAAATGATAGGATGATTGAAATGCCAAGAAAGGATAGAAGATTGGTTTTGAAACTTGCATTTCTCACCGCATCATTCAAATGCCTTGTGAAATTATGTATTCCATTCGTAGGCATATATTGATTATTCACGTTGGTAATTTAGGATCAAATGTAAATGCTTCTTATAGATTATATCTCACATTTCTAAAATCGTTAGTGATCATGAGATTTGTGTCAGAATTTGTATTTATTAGCAAAAAAATGGGTTTATGGTTCTAAGAAGCATGATACATCAAACTCTAAGCTCTCTCTCTCTCCCTCTCTCTCTCTCTCTCTTCTAACATTACATCACATTATGCCTACCTTACAACTTTAATGTGCCACCTAAGTGATAATTTCTAGTAAAGGGTTAGCTAAGTTGTAATCTTGTGCAATAAAAAAAACAAAACAAAACAAAACACACAAAGAGAAAGGATTAGTAACAGAAATAAACAACAACAAAAAATACTTTTGTTGTTCCACAGAGAGATAGAAAAAGTAATGAAATAAGGTTAGAATCTTGTCAATACTAAAAAGAACACCAGTACGAGATCAAGATATTCTAAAAGTGTTCATTGTAAAATATAATTACTATGCTTTATTTGTGATATAAAAGAAGAGGGGATCGATCATTGCCCTCGATTGCTCCTTTTGAATTGATAATAAACAATTAGATAACTTTGCCATGATTTAGAAAATTTTAATAGCTACGACGAGGCTAGATTTTGATGTTTATCAAAGGTAGAAGACTGGAGTTGACATTGTCTCCTCTCTGGAATCACAGTACCATAAACTTCCAGAGGAATTTGTGGGTGGACGAAGGACTATGGGATGGATCTAAAGATGAGTCTTGAAATTGAACAAGTATTCAAAACAGGGAGGATATCAAGAATGCATTCAATGGAATCCTCCTTTGATGAAATCAGAAGCAAGATAATGAAACTTTAGAGTGTCCAAAAGTGTCATTTACCATGACAGAATATCCTTTTTATAATACCAAGAGAATTACTGTTGTCATATGTTGTCAGCATAAATTTTGACAGAATTTTTTTTTTTTTTTTTTTTTTTGCTGCAGATCTTGTTTACTAGTCTCTCGAAAACGTTTCTGAATTTTAGCATAGTTTACTAGTCGATTTTTTTTTAGTTTAAGCTCCTCAAATAAAGTTAGAATATTCAAAATATTTCCCAACAACAAGCCCAATATACCCTAGTTTAAACTGAACAGCAATAACAACAGCAGCGGCCAACAACAACTTTCAAACCCAACTAATTCACCTTCTTATGCTTTAGTGCTAGTCCACATCATATTTGACATTAACCATAAGAGAATTTTTAAATCTTTTATTTTAAAAGACAGCTCTAGTGTATCTACCTTCGCTCTATTCCGCCATCAATTTTCCTTCCTTTCATTCTGATATTAATCGTCTCCCACAAAAAAAAAAAAAAAAAATCCCTCACAATATTAATATAATAATTGCAGCTACAAGATGTACCGCCTAACTTACACGAGGCCGTGTAAGTTAGCGCTGTAGGGGGGGGGATTTGAATGATGATTGGTTTAAAACGCTGTAGGGGCTCTTCGGTAAAAGCATTTTCAACTTTTCCCACCCGTTTCGAAATTCCCGCCTTGTCTACCTGTGTAACCATTGGATCTAAAATGTGGGTTCGGAACTACTTGTTTTGCGGGTAACGTCTGCCGGGAAATAAACTCAAAGATTATTATTAGCTTCTTTTTTTTTTTGGCTGACATGGCAACCTTAGTTTACGTTGTAGGTGGGACTAAGCTGCTTGCTGTTCTTAGCTGGACAGCAGATCAAATCACGAGCAATGGCTGCAGTATGGTAATTCGTGAATTGTGCGATGCGGGTGGCAACTACAAAAGGGGTCGTCGCTCGGACTCGGTGTGATGCAAGCGAGAGACGGCGAGGTCGCAAACCTTTGCGAGAGTTCTCTTCCTCGCTCGAAATCGCTCTTGGCTGGCGATTTCGAGGGCGGCAGAGAGCGATGAGGATTCGAAAGCAAGCCTCCAAGATGTTGCTGATCCCTCGGCCTCCTCCTCCTCCTCCTCCTTCCACCTCTGTGTTTGATCCACCGCCATCGCACGAGGTAATTCATCCAAGGCACCGTCACTTCTCTGTTCTTGATCCGTATTGGCATCGTTTCACAGTCCTCGCCCTCTTCGATGTTCTGGTCTTAGATCTCCTCGCAGCCTGTGTTCTTTTTCTTGAAAACGGGATGACTTCCGCTTTTCATTTCATTGTCTATTTTGTTCTGGTTTTCCGATCGTGCACTGAACACTTGGAGAAATCCCCAGTCGATCTCACTGTTCGAAGTTTGAACTGATCAACATCTGCTTTTAAGCAGCCGATAGGATCAAAGCGATCGGAGCAGACGACCGATCTGACAGGAAACGAGAGTCCGATGGTGCCTCAGATATGGTGCTTGAACTAAACCGACCTTTTTCTTATATTTCCTTTAGGGTTTTATTGCGTCGTATCGGATGATTTTAATGTCATACTCTTGTCCTCGATTAAGAGAACAAACTGTAGAACACCTCATGAGGACTCCTATTTCTGGTAGCATGATGGAGCCACCGAAATCAGAATCCGACGCTGAGGCCGAGGCGGGGAAGGCGAAGAAGAAGAGGAACTCGGTCGCGCAGATCACTTGCAAGAGGAGCAACGGGAAGGGGTGGCAGTGCAAGCGGGTGGCGGCTGAAGGGAGCTCCCTCTGCGACCACCACCTTTCTATGTCGCGGGCACGCAGCTCCTCGTCCTCCGTCAACATAGAGATGAACGCGGCGAAGCGGGCACGGAAGAAGGCGGAGGGTGAAACCGTGGCGGATGACGGGTTCAAACCGATGAAAGCGAGACGTGGACCGGCGGAGGAAGGTTTGGACTGCGGGGATGACAAAATGGACGGTCCTGATCGAGATGGTGTCCCCTTCGATGCCTATTGAGAGTAGCCTCACTTCGCTTAAATAGCCACTCGTCTCTTTCTAGCCGTAGGGAGGTTGGGGGAAGTCGCAGGTATCACCGTGAAGAGAAGTCGTATTACATACAATATATTGCTGAAATGTAGAAGCGAAAATGAACTATGCAAAAGAATGTAGCTCGCACAAACTTGCGCAACATGGAAGGACCTCCGACCAAGCGACCAGGATGACTCTGTTTTGAGCGTGAAATTTTCCTGTGTTAACCGAATCAGACAACAGGGGAATTGCCCGGGGTGCCCGCACGGCTTGAACGTAAACTTGGAGAGGTACGACACGTGGATTAAGGCTTCTCGAGGAGATTCCGTGTTCCCTGCTTTGGTCCTCGCAGGTAAGCCGAGCTGCAATTCTCGAGGCATTCGCACTTCAAGCTTCCCTTCACCTTTTGGCCATTAGGCTAAACGACACATCGCCTCATAAAGAAACTGTTGATGGATGTGTGTGCAGGGCGCCCCCGAACCCCAAACCCCAAACGGTGCTCGCCCGGTGAGCAGTGAGGAGAGAGAGGCCTCGTCGATGGCACCGCGGCCGCCAACTCGGTGGACCAAGCACCGACCTCCGGAACGGCGGATATGGCTCCCCCTACTCCTCCTTTCCTACCTCCTCCTCGCCGTCGCTTCCCTCCACGCCGTCGCCGCGTTTCTCCGCCGCGCCAACGATCTCGGCCGGCGGTGCGCGCCACAGCCCGCGGAATGCACCGCCGGGGATGTGGCGAGCCCGCGTCCGAGGATCGCGATCGTCAGCTTCTCCGACGAGTCCGAAGGCGGGGGACGGCGGTCGTTCCGGGGAGTGATGGCGGCGGTGGAGGGGAACAAGCGGGCGTACGCGGAGCAGATGGGGTACGGGTACGTCGACGCGCGGAATCTGGTGGATCGCAGCCGCCCGCCCAACTGGAGCAAGATACTGGCCGTCCGATCGCAGCTCCCGCTCTACGACTGGGTCTTCTGGAATGACGCCGTGAGTCGCACTCACTCCGTCTCGTTCAAATCTAACAAGAAAGAAAAAATGCGCGCATTTAATTCGGTTATTTTTTTTTCTGTGGGTTTTAGGACACGGTGGTGACGAATCCCAATACATCGTTGGTAAAAGCAACAAAAGCTTTTGTTTCAATTTAGTTTTGGCACTAATCTACCGCTGTCAACGGAGTTCTTGAGCAGAAGAATTGTTTGATCTGTGGGTTTGCAGGAGAGTATTCTGCAAGCCGAACTTGAGCACGGAGACTTCGAGTCATCACCAGACTTGGTGGTGACGGAGGATTTTAATGGAGTTAATTCAGGTGATTTCGATCCCTCTCAAGTATTCGTATTTCAGAGATAACTCTCCTAGCGTTTACTACTTGTATGGAAACCCCTCAGATCTCTTTCTATGGTTGATCATACTGATCAAGGGCTATATATACATGTCCATGTTATGTTTAGGTCGCACTAAGTTGGATTGGTTCGGGTTCAGATTTGGTTGTTAGGCTTGGCTTTGGCGTCGACTTGAAACCACCTTTAGTTTTGAATTGGCTTGAGATATCTCAAACACACATAAAGCATCAAATTTGTCAGGCCAGGCCAATCTTGTTCTGTGGGCTGCCCAAATTTGTCACATATAAATCATCGAATTTGGGCAATAACAATTTTTATTTTGTTGTGGTTGCTGCGTAGGATTGTTCTTTGTTCGAAGATCCAAATGGAGTGAGAATTTCTTGGACGCATGGTGGAACCAAACATCGTTTGTTCAGTTTGGGTCCACCAAAAGTGGTGACAATGCTGCGATGAAGTACCTCATCAACAGCCTCTCAGCAGAGGAATTGAGTGTCCATGTTCACATATCTCGGATGCAATGCCTGTTCAATTCCTATCCTTGGGTTCCTTCTTGGAAGTCTGTGTATCGATTGATTTCCTCGCCTTTGGTCACTTGGCAAGGTGGTCACTACACCACTCCTACAATTTGGTTATATGGTGATGGAACTGAATTAATTAAAATGGATGTGCTTATTCTATGGCATTTAGGAGTGTACTCTGATGGGGACTTCATGGTTCACCTTGCTGGCTTAGACGAGAAGAAGAAATGGATTGAGGTGATACTACAACAGTTGAGAGCTTCGGAATAGAAAAGGAGATGCAACCTTTTCACCTCGGCCAACAGGTTAGCGGTTTTGACTTTGAGTAGGTTATGTAACAGTAGCCATGTTGTGTTGTATGAATTGGTTGGATTTACAGACATGACTCACACCCTGACATCTCTATGTTCCACTACTAAAAATATGTGCCCATCTTGTAGAGTATGATGATGCATAAGCTGAGTGATGATGGAAGAAAATAAGTATTGTCTAAAGATTAAAATTTATGGCAGATTGTACTGCATGAAATCGCATTATAAAACTGAAGATAATGACAAAAGTCATAGGGTGGATAGGTCAAAACCTCGAGCTTCGGTTGATCCAATCGGATGCTTGGAGCAAATAAATCTAGCAATGTTGAAACATTTGGCCTAACATATTTGCAGTAGATAAGGCCCCATCAGCAGGTTCAGCTGTAGAAAGATTTTTAGTAATCCAGAAGCAAATCGAGAGTGCAAGATGAAAACCTTTTGCCCAACGTATCTGCAGATACAAATCAGCTCCAAATTCACAATGTGTAGATCCTTAAATTCCTACAGAAAACCTAACATTGACCGCAATAACATAACTTCACCATTTTAGTATCTGAAATCCCCAAGAAGCAAACAAAGAGAGTGATGTTTAGCAACTTGACACAATCAGCAGCAGAAAATATGGTGAACCCTACTAAAAGAACAAATTCGGATCAACAGTTGGAGTTTAGCTCACCCAAGGATGGTTGGAAGCAAAACTGAACCCTATAATCAGCCATGAGACCCTATAATTATTATTAGATAAAATAAAATAATAAATATCATCATATTCCGGAAAATATGAACATAAGATACGGCTATAAGGTCATAATCTAGAAATTGCATTTTCATGAGAAATACCCTCGCAAAAAGCTTTTGATCGGCTTCCAGAAGGCATTGCCACCTTTGAAAAACTCGATAAATATGGCTCTTTCTTTTCCAAGTGGTCCATTTGCATCTTTAACCTATCAACCCTTCACATCAAATAGTCATCCAATAAGGTTTTCCCCGAGGCATCAAGTCCTGATTGTTAATATTTTCTCATCTGGAGTAGTGCATTTTCTGGGCAGTTGTGGACCGTCATGATCCTTTCAGAATCTTTTATACGATCAATATGCTTAAGCCTTTTTGTTTCTACTTTTTCTTTCTTTGTTTTGAGGATATTACTCCTATAAGTTCTCGACCATTCACCCTCTGGATGAGATTTCCATTACGGAGACAGCCCTGTCTTGCTCTTTGGGTTAGTATTCACGTCATACAGTGGCTATCAAGCACCACTTTTTGACTTTTTGGGTGTGGAACAGACATGTTCCTATCGAATCCAACAAGTTCAAATACCTCAAAATAGGAGGTATCAAGTTCTTTCTACTTGGAAATTAATCATAATTATTCTGCCAGATTTTGCAAGATCAATGGGATATTGGTATCAAATCCTGATTGCTAATATAAATTACAGTTAGCTTGCCCAAAGTATTCCTGTCTGAGAAGTGAAAACTGAAGCAAAAACATATCTGTCATGCTGTTTCTCATTTGAAGCTTCGCCAAGCCAATTGTTTTAGTCACTTCTGGATGTTTCATTCTGTGGTTTCCCACTCGCAACATGTCACCTCAAGGGCTTCGACTCTCTTCGGACGCTAGCTAGCTCCGAACTTTGTACATTACCTGCGAATGCTAGGTTAAGATTAAGGGCAATGCTTTTCTTCAGTAGGATGTGGATTGAGGTATGTATTTGAGGTGTGACAGCTACTGAATCGAGGACTCGTAAGCTTTGCTTTGCGTCTCTTCTCTTTGTTTCATCTATTCCATGGGGATTATTCTGTCATGTTGGTGACAGCACCAGTTTGAATCATCCAGTTACGTTACAATGATCTTTTAGAACCCTAATCAGTATCTCGTGTTTCTTCGTTCTTTCTCTTCTTCTACATCCACAAAGCATGACGATGCTTTTGTGTAAGCACAATTCAGTCAACTGATAAGCTGTGTCAGATTACTGCACCCTCCTTCCTGAAGCGGCAGACAAACGATCTTTCTGATGATGCATATAAATTCTGCAAATGTTCCATTAGAGTGAACATGAACTCTAGATTTCATTACCTTTGCCTGCTTGCCAAGTTTAGGTAAGAGAGAGAGGCCATCCATGGATGCGACAGCCTCTGACCTTGACCAACAATCTTTTCTTTGGCCCCTTGTACCCGGTGCTTCAAGGAACAGTGACACTGAAAGCTCTGAGCTTCTCTTCAGCAGCTCTATCAATACACGATTCAAAAAGAAAGGAAGCAAGGTCAGCTTTGAGAGTTCACAAAGTAGAACTTGGCCTCTCATGGCCCATTTTTGAGTCACACCATGGGAGATTTGGACCACCTTCATCGTTTTCTTCTGTCAATTTGGTCTAAAATGTGCAGATTGACTTCTGCTATATCTTCTTTGAATATTACTCCACTATACTACTCAACTTGGATTGCGTTAACTTCAACGATGTGCGATCATGCTTGTCTCAGTTCTCCGTCATATTTTACTTGTGGAACAAATAATGCTATGCAAATTTAAGATAATGTTTGAGTATGGCCCATTAGATCGGTACGAATAAACTCCAAAGAAAATTTATATCTTGAAAATGGTCTATCAAAATATTACTGCTTTGTCATATTGACAACCTTTACAAACTTCATTACCACTAAAAGTAGTAAGAATGAAAAGACCCTTCACTAAGGTTTTCTACATCATAATCTTTAATTTAAGAAAATTTATATGATCAAGTCTAGTATGCCAAATTAATGCACTATCATTTTTACTCATATTATCAACATAAGAGGTTGATGCTGATAAAATATATAAATCTTTGATCTTTTTATCAATATGTATTATGTCTCATTTAATTCTTTTATATTGCAAACAAACTTAACTTCATTAGGACAAAAAAAAATATAATTTTTAGCATCAACAATATTTGTAATATAGAAGATATTTTTCTTCATACTTGAAATATGATATGCACTATTCAATGTAATAAGATCATTGTCTTTATCT